AATCCCTTGCTTTATAAGGGCGCATTTGATTTACTGCTTCATGACATTGAGAGGATTAAAACTGGCTAACCAATAGACTTCAGGAAGTCATTGTAGGGGCATATCATTACCAGCTCAGTGTCCTGAGATTGTCTGCAAAGTTTTCATGTGGTAGACGTGGTGGGTGGTGAATAATGAGTGTAAAAGTGGACTGTCTCACTCTGTCCTTGGTGTTAATGAGCCTAAATGCAAGATCACGCACTAGGGAAGAAAACTGAAGATCACGCCTATGAAATGCTGGACTGCACCTGCAGAAAGGGGCTCCTGGGTGATGATACATAGCAGCTCCATCAGCAGCCTCCCAGGCTAACCCATGGTCAGGGGGCAAACCAGGTCCTCCGCTGCATAGGCAGCTGGAGGCAGCACCGCTTTCCTCCTGCATCACATGGGAGAGCATCCATGGGGCAGCCCCGGGTGGGCTCAGTTCAAGATTCAGCCATCCAAAGGCGAGTGTCTACCCATGGGTGGGGTGTATAGGCACTGAGGGTACCCAAGATGTCCTAAAGCAGCCTGCCTGCCCTCGCTGATCCCTGAAGGTCTTTCATACTTCCCATCTCACCCCTGCCAGCCACACATCTCAGCCCCCCTGGAGCCTCTCAAATGGCACCAATGTCCACATTTAGGCAACTGAGTCAAGCCATCCGATAGGAAAGAGACAGACCTGCGTCTGGATATCTAAATGTGTTATCATTATCTCAAACCGAACCCACTCACTGTGCCCAGTCCCAGCACCAAAGGGATGAAAGGGTGTTGACAACGTGGGAGCAGTTCAGAGGACAGCCCCAGGGCAGACTAGAGGCTTCAAAAGCCTGCCCTGGAGCAAGACACTGGAGAAAGCTGCCCTATTCAGTGCTACTGAGAGAAAGCTGAGGAGCAACTTGATAACCATTCCGACCGTAATCAACCGAAGGGGAAAAAAAAAAGGCGTAAGATCTTACAGCTTTGAGCAGTAACCACAAAGTGGGTTTCAGAAAGGAAATATTTCTCATCAATGGTAATCATGCATTGAACCAGCTTTCCTGGGGACATGGTAGATTCCTCAATTCCCAATCATGATTTCCAGACCTCACATGACAGTTTTATTCAGTCACATTATGATTTGCTCAGCAGTTACTGGCAAATTTTGCTGAGGGTAAAAGGATTAGGATAGATTATTTTATTAGTCCTTTTGTCTGGCATCCATCAAGGTGTCCTTCCATTGCACAGCAAGCTCAAGGGCACGCCAGGAGCTTCCCCCCAGCTGTGCCTGTTGGTACACCCATCTGAAGAAAAGGGGGAAAAAAATCTTCAAGATAAAGTTTTAACAATGAAAACATCAATAAACCAATCACTGACATTCTGTTTCAGCAGAACAAGCTGGTCTCATGTAACTTCAGCAGAAAAAAATATAAAACAGGAGACAGCTCTTAGCCAACAGAGACCCACTGTACCTGCTCCACCACATATTGCCACATCTCCCATTTGGGGGTTCAGTGACCTCTAGCATTTTCAGTGAAGCTGAGACTCAAATAATTCCTTTAAAGGACACAGCATTTCCCATACTCCCTTCCTTCTAAAACCCTTAAATAGATCCACTCTCTCCTCCTTTCCCACACCAGTCCTTGGGGAAGAAGAGGGATTATTTTGTTTTGTTAACAGATACCTTTCTGGAGCTGAATTACTACTGGTGTTTCCTTCCTAGCAGGAGTTGGGAAAGCTTCCACTAAGTAAGCATCCTAGATCAATCACAGATGGATACAGCAAGGCATTATATGACCATTCTTTGCCTACACTGCATTACAGAATTGCATCTCCTCTACAGTTTCCTGCAACAGTTGCCTTCCCTGTCACTGTCCCCATCTCTTCTCTATTTTTTTCTGGTGTTTTTCAGTACTAGTTTTAGGTTCCCATGTATTCCCTTTTCTCCAGTGCTGCCACATGAATTCCTCACAACAAGGCAGTTTGCACCCTCTTTCCCCTGGGATCCTGCCCCCTCCCCACCTTGGCCCTGGGGCTCATGTCTGAGCTGGTCCCACTGGGCACCAGGCTCCCTCTGCCACTTCCAGCCTCATTTTCCCCAAGTTGCCCCAAATCTGGAACCCAGTGCCTCAGCTCCCACC